CAGCAGCAGAAAGTGAAAGCAAGCATGTTGAAGGTGGGGTGACAGTTTGAAATTGCATCTTTTAATAAGTAAGAGCTGCCTGGCTCTGACAATCAGAGCCTTTCAACAGATTCCTCCCAAGTTGCTCTCTGGAGGATGCAGTCACGTACATGTAATGTTGGTGCCATGTGAAGCAAAGAGCTCTCAGTCAGCAACTTGTGGCTGAGTGCTGACACTGGGAAATGGAAAATGGGCTGTGGAATGAATCCATGTAGGGCATGAGATGATCTGGGGAACGACTGTACATAGAAAGACCTCTGTCCCACAACAGGAAAGGGGCCTCACTGAGATTAAAAATCTCTTTTACATGAGAATCCTACAGTAACCAAGAAAGCAGCAACTATTAGGGCACAAAACATATAGGACAGACTTGTATGGCCAAAATACTTCCCACTTGTGTCACAACTGGTATTGCCAGGCAACAGGGTAAGGACCTCAAAGGGAGAAAGAGGAGGCAGCAGGATGACTTCAGTGATTTATTTTGTGATGGCATGATGATGACAGGTGCAGGCAGACAGTTATGCAGTTAAACAGGCAAACAGGCAGGCAATAACCAGGTAACAGACAGCTACAGGTCCGGGTCCAGGTAACAGAAACTAGAATGCAAACACCCATAAGGCATCTAGGAATGAACTGGCAAGGAACAAATGAAGTGAACTGGTATACACCAATCAGCCAAAATATTATGACCACCTGCCTAGTATTGTGTAGAAACCCCTTTTCCTGTCAAAACAGCTCTGATCCGTCATGACATGGACTCCACCAGACCTCTGAAGGTGTACTGTTGTATCTTTCACCAAGACGCTAGCAGCAGATTTTTTAAGTCCTGTAAATTGCGATGTGGGGCCTCCATGGATTGGACTTGTTTGTCCAGTACATCCCTCAGAAGCTCAATTAAGATTTGGGGAATTTAGAGGTCAAGTCAACACCTTGAACTTCTTGTTGTGTTCCTCAAACCATTCCTGAGCCATTTCTGTTTTGTAGCAAAGCTTTATCCATTATCCATAAAAGGGTGTACATGGTCTGCAACAATGCTTAGGTGGGTGGTGTGTGTCAAAGTAACATCCACATGAATGGCCTTTCTATCAGAACCAGGTTTTTCAGCAATTTGACCTACCGTAGCACATCTATTGGATCGGGCCACATGGACCAGCCTTCACTCCCCACATACATCAGTGAGCCTTGGTTGCCCTTGAACCTGTTGCCAGTTCACCGCTTTTCCTTCCTTAGACCACTTTTGATTGGTACTGACCACTGCTGACTGGGAACACCCCAAAACAGCTGCAGTTTTGTGTATGCTCTGACCCAGTTGTCTAGTTATCACAATTTGGCCCTTGTCAAAGTTGCTCACATCCTTACACTTGCCCATTTTTCCTGCTTCTAACACATTTACTTTGAGGACAAACTGTTCACTTATTACCTAATATATCCCGCCCACTGACGGGTGTCGTAGTAATGCAATCCACATGTAAAATGTGGATATGTTATGTTCTTGGCGGTGAAGAATTACAGGTTCAGTATTCACACAAGAAAACATAACCCAGGAGGACTGTCATTTAACATAATGTAAAACATATTATAATTTTAAACATGTTGCATAGGTCATACCCAACCCCAATCACTGATGTTAATCTTAGTCAATATCACACACCTGTAATCCTTACTCTTCCCTTATGCTTATGAATTTAAAAAGTGCTTACCCATAAAACTATCTGCTGAATCGCAAAATACATGGCCAAAAAGACTTGGCTTCCACTCACTGCTCTCTTTAAAAATGTACTTAACCTGAGGTTTGCTATTTACCTAGAATAAAACATGGATGCTAAAAGCATCTTTTGAACTCAAAACCTGAGTGCTTTTTTTACTAGATTTGGAGGGAGAAAGAAAGATTCTCATTTGTTGTTGTTATTTATATCACTGAGCAGTAGAGGTCAGCGTTAAGGCAGAAATTAGACATAGACCTTTTGATGTTTAACCCGTGCAGTCTATGGTTTAACCCAAATAGTATCCTCAAGCCACGTTTTTAGTGAGCAATGGAGCAAAATGCTCACTTTACAGGATTTTCCTCATCTTCTCGTGTTGCCTGGGTATCTATTCCTCATAGGCAGAGAAAGTATTTCACACACACACACAGGTTATCTGCTCTCCTTTAGCACATTTTTTCACACTTTCTCTCCTCCTACTTTATGGGATGTCTCAAGGGACCTGGTTCTGTTCCCAATTCCCAGTGACAGCCACTTCTTTACTGCATGCCAGCCAGTTACCCTATAATGACCATCCCCAACAGGCTGCAGACCAAATACCTGCTCCAGATTGATCAGCAGTTAATGGTCTGAGCTAGCTAGCAGTCATTTAATCTCTGAGGGGTGGTTACAGCGCTGTTGTGACATTAGGGGGGAATTGCAGAGTTCCCACTTGAGCAAAAAATTTGCCAATTAGAAGGAAATGTTTTGGGGGATGTGGGTTTTCAGCTAATAGCCTTCAATGGAGAGAAAACAATTTTAATAGCCTCCCAGTGTAGAGGAAACACTCTGGCAGATGTTTACACAGATGCCCACACAACCCAAATACTTTCTCTCAGTGAGTATCTGTGTATGTGTACCTGTGTTCCTCAAAAGCACACAATTGCAGGCATACAAAACACTTGGAAAATATAGCTTTACATAAAAAGTTTGTGACGGAATTGCTTCTACTCACATTGTTATTACCAGCACCTGATTTTACTTTCTCATAACACTTTGAAATCCCTGCTCCCCACCCTCCATCATGGCAGGTACAACCCAGACACAGACAGCTGGAGTATAGATGTAGCACCCTTGAGCAGCCCACGCAGTGGAGTGTGCCTGGTGGAGATGGACGGATACCTGTACGCTATTGGAGGACACGATGGCATTGCTACCATAAATACTGTGGAGAGGTACTGTAGCACGACCGGTACAAAAGATCAATATCTTCCAAAATGAACTGTGAATCCTCTTAATACATGAACAAAGAAACGTTCAAGACACCTCATCAACTTTAAGGGGCACTACTATACATTATTTTCCCCATAAAATCCCACAGTCTCATTTTTTGGGTTTCTATTTCTTTTTCTGTAAAGGAAGTAAACATGTTTAAAGTGCTTTTACATTTTTCTTTCAATCACCACCATCTAGAAAAAAATGTCTGCTAAGTTTCCTTTGAAGAGACTTTCTAGTTTGTGCCATAAACAAAAATATACCTCCTTTTAAAAATGAACATAAAATGAAAGTGGAATGATTAGGCTGTGTCTTACATATATCTAGAATGAAAGTATTAATGATCGTAATTACCTGACATCTGAAATTTCTTTGAAAGCAGTCTGAAGTGGCTGACTCAGATGAAGGAACAAAGAAATTATAAATGGAGTTACACAAAAATATAATGATTGACAGACCATTTGTTAGATTGGGTTTTGCTAACCTTTGTTTCATTGTTCTAGGTATGATCCAAAAATGAACACATGGAGCAAGCAGGCACCTATGCTGACCAGGCGCACAAGGGCAGTGGCTGCTGTGCTGGAGGGTCACTTGTATGTGATCGGAGGGAATGGTGGTGATATGGCTCTGAGCTCAGGTGAGACTGTCTTTGACATCAAACTTCAGGCGCTCAGAAATTCAGCCAATGTTTGATAAAGGCTGTAAGATTATCCATTAATCTGTCAATTAATTTATAAGATAAATATAAGACAATTGTGAAATATGCCCATCAAAAGTCTCCAGAGCAATATGTGAGGTTTTGAGCAGCCCTTAATCCAAAGTTATCCAATCTATAATGATGTAAAACAGACACATCCAGCAAACCCTGACATTTGAGAAGCTGGGACCAACTAACGTCTGGCATTTGTTCTCTGATAAATGATTTAAAGGATTAATCGATTCTCAAAATTGGTAGAGATTAATGTTTCTTCAAACATTCTTCTTTGAATTCTCTTAAACGCTTGTTTTTAATAATATGCCAGTGCTTTGAGTTATGTGTTAATGTGGCTTATTAGAGCTGGCACAAGTTATACAAAGTAACACAACATTAAAAAGAATAAAAATTAATGATAATTTATATATACAGTATATATATATATAATATCTCTCTCTCTCTCTCTAGAGAGAGAGAGAGAGAGAGATATATATATATATATACTGTATATAGACAGTTAACTGAGAACGTTAACTGTCATTTCGTGCTGGAGGCACAAGACTTCTTCCCACCACTGTTTGAAAAAACCTCAGCTTTCTTTGACAGCTTTTTGACATGTGGCAAGACGACTAAATGCTAACTAGTAAGAACTAGCGTGACCTCTTATTTTCTATGTATTCATATTCGCACACACACACACACACACACACACACACACACACACACACACACACACACACACACACACACACACACACACACACACATAGCTTAAGCCCCCTGACCTTTCCGTATAAGGGTTCTGTTGTGCTGCTATTTCAGTCTGTGAGAAGTGCACGTCAGTAAAATTCCCACAACCTTCTCTGGTTCCCATCAAGTTCACGGTTCTTGCTTCCAAAAATGATTGACAATCACAATATTTTATTTTCATTTACAGAGAGTTTTATTAAAAAATAAATCAAACGTATTTTCATTTAATTGGATTTTGCTTTCTGACAGACATTTTTAGCTTTTTATGTACAACTAAAATCAATGTAACCTGGACATTTTTGTATATAAATATAAACACTGCCTGTCTGTAAGGTAGTGTTACTCATACAGTGTGTGTAGTTATGTATTATATGGTATGGCCTTTTCTGACTTCTGCTATTCTCTAAATGTCCCCCAGTGGAGCGATACAACCCTGTAGACGGTACCTGGTCGATATGCGCCCACATGCTGAGTCCCAGAGAGAACGCCGGCTGTGCCGTGTACCTGGGACACATTTATGTGGCTGGTGGGAAAGACGAGCTCAACCTGGAGCTCTGTGCTGCTGAGAGGTTTAACCCGGACACCATGAGGTGGACTCCTGTCAAACGCATGAAGAGCAAGAGAAACAACGTGAGTAATGGATCACTAAGACACGTCAGATATCAGGCCTCCCTTCCGATTTAAGGTTCAGTTAATTTTTTACATCCAAACGATAAGAACAGAAAAGATGAAGAGAAGTAATACGAGTGACATGGCTGAGGGAAGGACATCCTTTTGCTTAACAGATTACCTAAAATATTTGTATATATATGTATAAATATATGTTTTTTGGGCTGAAAAACCAGTAACTTGTTTTTTTTCTGGCGTGCTGTGGATGGATTAAGAGGTATGTTTAACATGTTCACCACCTTACTTTAGCATGTTAGCATGCTAGCACTTGCCAATTACATCATTGCATGTAACATGTATTTGCATGTATTTGGTTATAAATTATTTATCTAAAACCTTTAACCTGAAGGGGAACGGTAAATGTTGACCTGCTGGTGGCACTAGATGAAAAGTCATGGGATCACCAATGTCATGATGATTCATCCTCTTGGCATCATGAATACTGATACAAATTATTATGGCAGTCCATCCAATACTTGTTGAGATCTTTCACTCTGGACCGACTGACATTGTTATCCACTGAGCCATGCCACTAGTGAGGCTAAAAAGTTGATAACACACCGGCCTCTCGACAAGGCAGGCCAAGGGCTCTGCAGCGGGTGATTAAAACTGCCCAGAAGATCATTGGTATCCATCTCCCAAGCATCAGTGATACCGGTGTGGTGAGGTGCCTACGCAGAGCCCAAACGACACTAAAGGACAGAACCCACCCAGCCACAGCCTGTTCACCCTGCTGCCTTCTGGGAAGAGATATAGAAGTTTCTGCTGCCACACCACCAGACTGCAGAGCAGCTTTTCCCCCCAAGCTGTCAGACTCTTAAACTCTAGTGTCATCACAATCAGAATAAGGTTTATTTATTTTATCTTAGTTATCAGGTAACTTTCACATTCAAGGAATTTGTCTTGGTATATTGGTGCTTACATAAATATACATATATAAAAAAATTATGATCAATGTTTAACTGTCTTTCTCAGACCATGTTGCTACTGTCTCTCGGTCGTGCCGCTTTGCTCTATACAACATAAGAAAAATCAGGTCATACCTTACTCAGTACGCCACCCAGCTTTAGGTACAGGCCGTTGTTATCTATCGCCTCAACTACTGCAATGCCCTCCTAGAGGGTCTTCCAGCTTGTGGGGTGAAACCCCTCAAATGCTTCAGAACACAGTGGGGCATCTGTTTTTTTAATAAACCCAAAAGGACTCGTGTCACTCCATTACTCAGTGACCTCCACTGGCTCCCCGTGGCCTCCTGAATCAAATTCAAGTTACTAATGCTTGCATACAGAGTGACTAATGGGCTGTACCCATCTACCTAAACTCCATAATACAAGCTTACATTCCTTCTCGGCCACTGTGCTCCCCCAACGAACGCCGTCTGGCTCTACCATCCCTACACACAAGGCTATCTCAGTCCCAGCTGTTCTCATCTGTGACACCACAATGGTGGATTGAGCTACCACATGCCATCAGAGCAGGGGCGTCCCTCTCTAACTTCGAGAAACTCTTGAAATCTCATCTATTCCGAGCACACTTTCTCTTATAACACAGCAGAACTTCCTGTGTTCTTCTTCTTCTATCTCCTTACAATTCTCCTGTATTGATTTGCTAACTCTCATCTCTTCCCCTAGGTATTTATCCCATTGATGCTGTATCTTCTCTGTATATGCTCTTACTTGTAAATCTCTTACTTTACTGATGCTTGTAAGTTGCTTTGGATAAAAGTGTCTACCAAATAAGTAAATGTAAAAGTAACATATTGTGTGTATTGTATGCTTAAACTATTGAATTTATGCTGTTACAAAAGTACATGATGGTGCAGTGTATTGACTCTTTAAGTTAACCCCCTGGGCTGATTTACAAAATTTAAAAAATTGTCAAAAGAACATGTTAAATCTATTTCATTTAAAATCATTTGTTGATGTAATTGTATACAATTCTCTTATAATCACTCTTGTGTATTGGCCTCAGATGTCCCTTGTAGTCTTCAATGGTGTCTTGCTGGCTGTGGGAGGCTCTGATGGTGTCACCAATCTGAAAACAATAGAAGTTTACTGTCATGAAACCAACACATGGAGGTAAGAGGAATACCAATGCTGTTACGTTGCTTAGTGCTCATTGCTGTGGCGTTTTCTTAATTGGGCTTTCATATTATTCAAAAAATGCCTAAAGCTCTAATATATTTCTGTTTCCATTTCCTGTTAATGTAATTTGCCGGAAACATAAAAGCCATAACGACTTTTTGCTTTAGGAAACAGGCTATGAATTTAATTGCTACTGTGCCCAATAGATTAGCAGTAAAGAGCCACAATGTGGAAATCTATTTACATGAAAACAGACACAACAAGGTGCAGGGATAACCAAGCCTTAAAGTAGTACAAAACATACAATATAGCGTATTTATCTGTACTTACAGTCAATACTTCAGCAATAGTTGTGAGTTTGATGAAATAAATAATTGTATGTATAATCACATCACATACTTATAAGGAAGAAAAAGTTTTAATTAGCCAATTTACAATTGTACTTGATGTGAAATCAAACACGGCGCAATGTGGTGCAAACACTGTAAAGGGTACTCTGACTTTGGTCAAAGTCATGCAAAACATTTACAAAAAAGTGATAAGATGAATAAGGAAAAAGAGAATGCCTACAAAGTCATTACTCAAACTCATTAAAATTTAAATGTAACATTACATTAATTAATGTTACAAATTACAGTCTATCTTGCCATGATGGTACAGTTGTCAAATGAATTTCAAGCTTAGGACAAACATACTTTACATCAAGAAAAGTCTGCAGCTTACAGCCAGACAAATAGATTCACTTTGTGATTCATGCACCATGTAAGCCTCCTATATATTATATATGCCTTCAGGCTGCTTACTGTCTCTGAGTACTTCACTGTCTGAGTCCTCCTATTTTCCTCTCCATCTGTTTTTAGACACTTTGGAAGCATGAAGAACAACCATCCAGGAGGAAGAGTGGCTGTGCTGTGCTGAGACCTGTTCACATTATACGAACAGGACAGAGGTGTTAGAGAGAAATAGCCTAATGGATGTACACCAGGCTGCAGGACATATTGTGATATGGATCATGTAAGACAGCATAATGACTGAATAATTGAAGAGTTCACTCCAAAACGAGACATCGCTGCATTAGTCAAAATTGGCAGCTGGTGTTACAAAATGAGTGCGAGCATTTCATTAAAGCACATTACAGGCTACCAGGTTACCATTAAAAGTTATGGGTCTTTTTATGTATCTAGCTTACAAAGCAGACCTCTATTATAGGGATGAATCAGCAGCAAGTACATTTCAGGTTGTATTTTTTCCACCAAAAAGAGATGTCCCATCCTTCCAATAGAGATTGAATATGGTACTACCATAATTATAGCCTGACCAATACTGGATTTTTGAGTCCAGTAATGTATTGACATTTGTGAGTTTTAAATATCAGATGATATTTTGGCCGATTATTTAACATAAACAAAAATAATCTTGATACGAATAACTTAGATTTGTTTGTGTTTTTTTAGATTTGTGATATCTCTGCAATTAGCTTACACTGATTGATCAGCTTGGCCGATGTATTAGCCAAACTCTAACCATACTATTAGATTTTTAAAAAATTACAATGTAAAACGTGAAAAAGTGAGCCAGTGTTTTACAAAATAGTGCATAAGTCCCACTTGTAAATATTGGGATTTGTGTAGTGATTATTGATGCGGAGGGAAAAGATGGAGGGAAACTATGCAGGTGTTTGGTAACAGAAAGTACAGGATTTGTATATGACAAAATACTCAATCTTTTGTCACTTAATACTTTAAGATGAAAGAAGTAATTTTAACCTTGATGATGCTTTGAAGGTGAGAAACTCAGGTGGCTGTTGGAAGTGGAGAAAGTGTACTGAATGTTTTCAGAGTAACATAGTACTATGACATGACAAAATAGCTAGCATAATGGCATAGAGAAATTATGCATTGTATATGTTGTCTTTCTAAAAAGTTCATCATGTGTGTACATCAGCTTATGTGAATTTGTGATGATTCATGTTGCAAATGACTCCTCAGCACTGACTAAAAACAATTACTCCATCATATCTCGTCATTCAGCTCATGTAAACATTCACTAATAGGCAAGGCAAACACAGAATGGGTTGTGAAACACCAAAATCAGCTGGATTAAGTTGTGCCTAAGAAATCTGTGGGAATCAAGATCCTGAGTGAGACAGGCGAGTGAATCTGACTGCTGGCATGGGAAAGCATAAGTGGCTGTGTGGGCTTTAAAGCGATGACGCTCAGAGCTCTTTCCTCTGGAGAATAATGGGCTGAAATGTGGAGAGGCTGAGCACAAGGACCGCACACAGAGCAACACGTCTTTTCCGGAGATACACAAGCCAGTGGTGTCTCCCACCGTAACTCGTGCACACAGAATGAATATTTTTTTCAATATGAGGGGGACCGTTGTGAGGCAAATAGCAGAGGACAGAGCTGTTGCAGGTATGTTTTAACAGAAAAAAAACTAAAATATATATATATATATATATAATAATAATAAGAGATTGTGAATTTCTAGAAGTTGCCAAGACTTTGCATGCACTGTGTATACATCATTGATGTTGGATGTTGGGAAATTATGAGCAGTATGAATAAATAACTAATATAGGGACTGTTGAGGTCTAATTCAAATTAAATGTTTTTTGGGAAATGTCTAGGCTATACAGGTCAATTTTAAGCCTGGTTCTGACAGACCTCAGACTACTTGTGTTTTTACTGACTGATATGTTACTGTTACAGCTAACAGTTACACTGGTTCAGTTCTTCATTCACAAGTACATAGCAAAGTTGCACTTTCCACTTCTTACCACCAGATGACTCTGAGTGATGAAGACACAGTGTGCATCGACACTAGCACTTCACACCATTACGTTGCTTATAAAACAGAAGAAACGGCCTTATTCGTGTAAACTTAAAGCCACAGTCTACAGGCAAGCGTCACATTATTTGGCAAATGGGGTGGGCAAAGTCATGACGAGGCAGAATTACAGCAGATCCATTGTTAAGTTGAATTAATTTCTCTATGAGAAGTTTCCTGTCTGCATCAAACATATGCTGTACTCAGAAGACACCGAATTATGTCTCGGTATCCGGCAGATGCCGAGGCACCCGTAGGTGACTTCAGGTTGGGAAATGAGCGCCGTCCTCCTGCTCCGGCCAGGGGAGGATAAGATGCAACCAGCGCTTACACGGTGTCCTTAATAGTATATGGCAGGAAACAGCAACGGAGAAAGCCATAAGAGGCGGTAGACTACTTACAGTGATTTTAGACCAGGGACTGTGACGTGAAAGACAAGCTGGAAACGGTTACAAACGGGATTGCTGATTAAAAAGAGGAAGGCAAGAGGAAAATCAAGTTTATGATCGCCAACATCAGACTAAAAATAGCAGTTCATCCTCCTTCCGCCAAGCAATGTAGTTCGTCAAACAAAGTTGTTGCTAAGCGACAGTGAAGTCTCTCTGTATTCGCGGCGGTTCGGGGCTCGCGCATCTACACGAGCAGTCAGGTGTGCGATAAATTACGACGGTTTCGAAGGCGTGTCAGCCAATCAGCGCCGAGAACCGGGACTCGTTTATTCTCGTAAACCCAAATAACTCGGCGTGCGAGCCTACGTAGCTTAGAAGTACCTACTGATGGAAAGCGAGGTTTTCCGGTACTGTGTTTGTCGCTAAGAGAGGCTCTACAGTGGATTGGTTTGATATACTTGAATGCTTTCAAAAGCTAAGTCCGCCCCCCCCCCCCCCCCCCCCCCCCCCCCCCCCCGACCGCTGGAGTTTCCTTCTCCTCTCCCTTTTTATAATTGCCATTTCCCAATGATGACAGAGCTTTGTCAGGGGCGCGTTGATGGGAAACGTCCTCTGTCACGAAAGCAATGCTGTATGGGCACTATATGGAAGTTATCTAAACCAAGCCTGTCTTTACGATGATGGGACCTCGGTCAGAAACGGGAACACAGCCAGGTAAAAGAAGTTATCCCATCTCAAGCCAATAGGCTATGACCTAACTCAAAGTGGCTGTGGTGCTCATTTGTAAGTTTACTTACCATGTGTGTCTGTCTGTTATTGCCTCCCTAGGTCATAACATTGCCATTCAAGCTGTTCTAAATTTCTGTTTGTGTTACTCTAAGGCGAGCTCTTACTGTCTTAAGGATGTAGCCTAGAAGTTCTATGAGAGGCTACCATAAGCTTGTGGTACAGTTTTGTTGTCTCTTCAATTTTTTTATACAGTATATGATACCGTAGCCTACTCCTTAGTTTTGCAGTGGTGATCATATGGGAGTTCATTTTTACCCTTCTATCTGTTAGCTAGCTATCAGTATACTGTCACCCTAATATTTACAGTGGACTCAATTGCAGATGTTTTTGGTGGATCAGCAGTACATGAAACTCTCATGACCATTGTCCATGACCAAATTCTGTTTTTTTCTTATGGAAGTATTTTTTTTAAATTTTTTTAAGCATTTGTGTTGTCACTGACATACTTAAATTTGAATGTGATGACTGTGAGTTGAACCCTTGTCCAAATTACACATTTCCTTTTGTATAAACATAAGGAAAACATACAACACCAGTGTTCAGTTGAAAAGTCTAATTGTCAGAACATTCGTAACATTTAGATATTGTTGATGGTAACTGGTCTCTGCATTATAATCTCACCTACAGTAAGTGTGACATCCGAAATACATAATTTTGAAGAAGACTGCAGATTTTTACAGACCTTGTACGTAAGTTTTGATTCTGTTCTTTCTTTTTTTTATTCCCATTCAGCTCCTTTCATTTCTTCCATCTGCTTTCTATGGTCTGAATCCGGGGTATTGTCTCCATTAAGTGGAGGCAAGTATATGCCTGGAGCAGCTCTGTTCCCTATTATTGCAGTCACTTTGCCTTATCCATTAAGTCAACTCTCAAAGATTGCAGACCCTGGTTTTTAACAGTGGACATGGCTCATTTTACTCTCATTGTGGACATACAGCTCTTTTTTTCCTTTAAAAAAATAATCTTTTTATCTGGTTTGCCTTAACTTCTCCTTTGCCCTAAAGTGAAGGACACATTAAGGAAAATGTGTCCTTTACACTCACTGCCTTTGGTTCCAGTTTTCCTTTCCTGTCCTCACCAGCACACTCATCTCCCCACTCTCTTTCCTCTGTCTGCACTTCTGAGGGTCTGAGCTTTCACTATTGTATCTCCTATCAAGGAGAGCATGTCTGGGGGCTGTTAGCCCACTCAAGGCTGCCCACACTGTACTGTGATGACCACAGACGTAAAGACACAGACTCTGTATTACCTACTAATTGTGGGAGAACAAAGCAATCTCAACAGGATACACAGATAAATCATGTGATTGGACATCTATGAAATAAGCTCAACATTGATTCACTTGGGTAGAAACACACACACACACACACACACACACACACACACACACACACACACACAATCTAATGACATCCATCATGTTCAGCCAGAAAGGACATACATTCTTGCACCACCTTGAGGAGGGCATCACTCCTCACCATGGCTACACACATTATCCTAAACTGTATGGTGTTTTCAATAAATACAGGACAGTAATGTCTGACTGACCCACCTGAAATGCTATGTTCCACTTTATCAGAATATACACTATAAATAAGATAGAACATCATCAATTGGGTATGTGTGAGACAGTGAACACATTATTTAACTGTACAGTTCCTTAAAGTGTGACGGTGTAATCCCGCTCTGTTCAAACAGCGGCACATTTCAGAGGTCTTTGCTGAACTCTGAGCAGAATTAAGCTGCAACACAGGCAGTGAATGTAATCATATTACGTTTAGTCTTTAAGGAGGTGAATTTTTAATAAGTGTATTTAAACTCTCTCCTTGTCTTTTTTTCTCCCTCTCCCTGTCTCTTGGTCCCTCATTCGTCACTCAAAAACCCCCACAAGAAACAGCCATGAACCCTCCACGCCGATCATCGAGTTCCCATAGTGACAGGTAATTTTCTTAAGCACTTGTTCCCCTCCATTTGACACTGAGTGACGTTGTAGGAACACATATATAAACGTAAATCACTAAATAGCCAATTCTGTGTGCACTGAATGTTTTTTTTTCTTTTTAATAATACATGTGATTATGTTTATTTTGTTTAATAATGCATGATGCGCGTGAAATAGAACAGCTCCATCAAATCATCTCGTTCAGACTTTCATGCATGACTTGCTTTGACTCAGAGAATCAGGTTAAGCATGTCCTTCACAAATCAAATCATTTATGTTTAAGCTGTTTGCTCAGCTATGTTTGACACTGCAGACAGGGCAGCCAAGGCGTTTTTTCAGTACAACATATGAACAGTTATTGTTTTGATTGCAAACTGTCTATTCTTATTTTACAGCCCTGTAACTGCACAGAACATCATAAATCTTTTCCATCATTGCCTTATATTCACTGTATGCAAACATTACCAGGCGCCTTATTGGTAACTTGAAATTTTGTGCTGAAATGTCACCATTGTACTGTGACATGCTCTCTCGGAAGGAACTCAAAAGCAAAAGCGGGCATGTTTATGAGCAGATTTTGCTCTCCTTCTCGTCCTGCAGGCCCTCCACTGAGACCCAGCAGAGGAACAACAGCAGTAACTCTGGCGTTATTCTGGACATCTCGGCTCTCAAGATGACGGAGGTGGATACAGAGGTGCCTCCTCTTCCACCTCGCTATCGCTTCAGGGACCTGCTGCTGGGGGACCAGACATTTCAGAATGATGACAGGTAGCATGAAAAATACTGTGCGCGCTTGCGTTTGTATACTTTTAAGTTCAAGTCTCTCTGGATACTTGAACTGCTACACTGCTTTCAACAGTTGTTGTACACACTTTCCCTCGAGCTGCCTCATCTACTTCTACTTCAATTACTGTTTTCCTACATTTCCCATAATGACTTCTCACGACAACCCCCTAGAGATGTGGCAGGACTTGTATTCAGCTGTTGGTTTTCTGTGTAGGTGGATACAGTAATGGAAATAGAAACAGTGGAGTGAGAGGTTTTGTAGTGAAAAGGTTGG